GGATGGGCATGACACCCAGGGCCTAGCCTGTTGCTGCTGTCTCCACAGTTCCCACAATCCACCCCTCCCTGGCAACCGTGACCACCGTTCCAGAATGCTAACTCATCGGCATTATGACAGCTGAGCTTTGTCATAGCCCTGACACTCACTGTGCACTCTGACACTCTGCCAGCCTCTGTGGACACTGAATTGATATCTGGGCCTTCCAACTTGGCCTCACTGACTCTGATCCTACTTCTCCCAATATCCCGACACCGCCCCCGGCCGCCACGGGGTCCACGGCCGAGACGTTGAGCGTGGCGGAGGCCGTGGTGTTGCCGGCCGAGTTCGTCACCATGCACGTGTACTGGCCCGTGTCCTGCACGGTGACGTTGGTGAAGTTGAGCGTGCCGTCGTGCAGCACGGAGATGCGCACGCGGTAGGAGCCGTGCGTCATGAGCGTGCCATTGGGCGTCAGCCAGTTCACTGACGTCATGGAGGTGCCCGTGCGGCACTTGAGCTCGGCCGCCATGCCCTCGGTGACATTGAGGTCCGTGGGCGGCTCCACGATGACCGGCGCGTAGCAGGTGAAGTGCGACTGGTCCAGCTCGCCGATGTAGCGGCCCTTGAGCCCCGCGGGCGCGTGGCAGCGCGCGCAGCACGTGGTGTTGCTGGGCACCGTCTCCTTGAGCCACCAGCTCAGCCAGAGCACGTCGCAGTTGCAGTGCCAGGGGTTGTGGTTGAGGTGCACGCGCTCGAGGCGGTGCAGGGGCGTGAAGAGGTCGTGGGGCAGCGACATCAGGTTGTTGTGGGACAGGTTGAGCTCCTCCAGCGACTTGAGGTCGTCGAAGGCGTTGCGCTCGATGGTGGCCACCTGGGCGTGCATGAGCCACAGCTTCCGCAGGCTGGTGAGGCCCTGGAAGGAGCCGGGGCGGATGAGGTCCAGCCGGTTGCCGGACAGCTCCAGCTCCTCCAGGCGCACCAGGGCCGTGAGGTTGGGGATGTCCTTGAGGTTGCACATGCCCAGGTTGAGGTAGCGCAGGTTGACCAGCCCCTCGAAGGCCGCCTCGGAGATGTACTCCAGCCGCTTGAGCTCGCCCAGGTCGAGGCGGCGCAGCGAGGGCACGCGGTTGAAGGCGTACGAGGGGATGCTCTCAATGGGGTTGTTACGCAGCCAGAGCTCCCGCAGCTTGGACAGGTACTCGAAGGCCTGCGTGGGCACCGTGGTCAGCCGGTTGTCGAAGAGCTCCAGCGTGTTCAGGCTGGGCAGCCCGTTGAAGGCGCCCACCTCGATCTTGCGCACCAGGTTCTTGCTCAGCTGCAGGATCTCCAGGTGCCGCAGGTGCTTGAACGTGTCTGTGCGGATCACCTGGGAGGGGGGACACGGGTCAGTAAGGCGGGCAGGGACGGTGGCCAGAGCGAGAGATGGGGTTGGCGGGTTAGGGGATGGAGCGGCTACTGTGGAAAGCAGTCTGATAGCTGCCTACAGAGTTCACACAGGAGTGGCCAGCTTGGGTGCACGCCTGTAATCCTGACGCTTGGGAGGCTGAGGCAGGAGGATTTAAACCCAGCTTGGACTGTATAGGGAAACCTTATGTCAAAAAAGAAAAAAATATGGGGTTGGGGATTTTAGCTCAGTGGTGCCATGCCTGCTTCGCAAGTGCAAGGTCCTGAGTTTGATCTCTGGTACCATAAAAAAAAAAAAGAAAAAAAGAAAAGAAAAGAAAACAGAAGAACCCCACCAAACTACTAGAAAACTAGAGCTGCCACTCCTTGGCCATCACAGGCCCAGGTGTGTACTCAGGACAGCTGAAGTGCTGTTCACAGAAGTCCTGTTCTTCTTCTTCTTCTTCTTCTTTTTTGGTAATGGGAATCAAACTTGGGTCCTTGAGCTTTTGAGACAGGTGGCGGAACCACTGAGCTAAACCCTGGCCCAGAAGTCCTGTTCTTTAAGCCTAGAGGGCAGCCACCCAGATGCCCAGTGACAGGGAACAGACAGGCGCCTGCAGGAGAGGGCTGCTGGCCCCACCAGGGGACCCCAAGGCAGCCCTGTGGGAAGAGGGTGCCCAGGCCCTGCCGTTCCCAGCAGGGTCTCTGCCTGTACATGTGGGGTGCAGGCCCTGGGCAGGGGGAGGAGGGAGGCAGAGAGCTGGTGACCGGACACCCGGTGGTTACACAGGGGAAGTTAGCTGTCAAAATTTAGCTGTATGCTTAAAACAGGGACATTTTATATGCAAATTATACCTATTTTTTAAAAAAGAACGAAGAATAGTAAAACCAGCAGCTAACATCCATTAACCCTTATTTGGTGCCGGATACTGTTTTAAATGCATTGCAAGTAAAAGCTCATTTAATCCTCCTAACTGCCCCGTAAAATCGGTACTGGTACAAACCTTTATTCAGTGCCTGCACTCTCAAAATGTGTCAACCCTACAAGTCAGATTTTCATAACGCTGACAGTGAGTTCCATCTGTAGCGACACTCGATCAGACTCACGTGAGGCTATTTAAAGCCTTTAATCCCTCCTGGCCACGTGACCACCGAACCGCTTCCCTCTGGAAATATTTCCACATTTGATCAGGGTTAGTGTGAGAGCCCCAGGTGTTACAATACAGGTGCTGCCAGTTCACAACAGCTAAATCCTAGAACAGGCCCACTGGTGAGCAGATGCAGAAAACGCGGTCTTTATACACAGTGGAGGGCCGTTCCGCACAGAGGGCGAGTGTGAGAACCTCTAGGTAGATGGACACATCTCGAGGCCCGAATACTGAGGGAGGCTCATCCGACCCGAGGGCAGGTATGACGCGATTTCTCTTATAGGAGGGACCCAGCGTAAAGTAAAAGGTGAAGCAGGGAGGGGGAACTTTTGCAGACGGGGAGAGGATCTAGGGGAGGGAGAGAAAAGGAAGGACAAACAAAAAGGACTCAAAGCCCTAAGTATGTGGCCACGCCCCTCGATGAGCACATCAGCGTTGCAAACTCGTACTAAGGAAAAACAAAAATACATGCTCGTGCTATTCCCTTTCCTTTCCTTTTCTTTCTCTTAATTAATTAATTAATTTATTTATTTTGGTACTGGGGATCGAACTCAGGACCTTGTGCTTGCAAGTTAGGTGGAAAAACCACTGAGCTAAATCCCCAGCCCTTAGATTTATTTTTTAACCATCACACAGAACACAAACATTACATTACTAGGGCACTGCGTGGTCTCTGTGCAGGTACACACGTGGCATTTACATCATGTTGGACACAGCTGTCCCCTCATTTATCATTTCTTTCTTTGTTTCTTTTTTGAGACAGGGTCTCACTATGTAGTCGAGACTGACCTGGAACTCACTACGTAGCCCAGGCTGGTCTCAAACTCACAGCGATCCTCCTGCCTCAGGCTCCTGAGTGCTGGGATGACAGGCGTGCCCCACCACGCCCGGCTCATTTATTATTTCTTTATGTAGCTCATTTCAAAGGCCCTGGGTCCATTTCCCAGGACAGGAAAAAGAAAACAAATTATATTCATGTTACATCCCTGTTGACATACATGTTCAACACCATATGCCAAGTATTAGTACCCACAACAAGACCCAACAAGCAGCAGCCAGGCGTGGTGGCTGCACCTGTGGTCAAAGAGAACAAGCCTAGTCTGGTCTAACAGTGAGACCCTAACACTGGGAAAATACTTGCCCTGCGACAGTAAGTTATTGCCCTTCTAACAGCAGAGTGCCTCGGGAGGGGCCTGGAATGGACACCGCAGTGCAGCAGCGCACCCGGGGGTGCACAGAAGGGGACGGACTTGGGATCAGACACAGGCCCTCGGTGCCAGAGTCCCAGCTCTTAGCCTCCGATCTCAGCTGCCACGTTTAGGGGACCACGGAGGGGCGGCACTGGGCCGGGCCACGCGGGCCACGGAGGCACAAGAGGCCACATAGCCACGGGGCAGCCCTGCTAATGACATGCGGATGCCCCTGTGTGCTACTCAGGGGGAAATGGGAAACTCCAAGGAGCATCCTGCATAGCCAGGATTTCATAAAACTAAACATTAGTTATCTGTCCATAGCGTGCCAAAAATAAATAAATAAATACAAGAAGAAAGCCTGGCAGGAAATCCTCCAAGCTGTTCTTAGTGTGAACTCCAGCTGTTGGGGGTTATGGGCAGTTTTTTTTCTTTTGTTACTTTTATAACAAGCAGGAATACGAAACAACAACAACGAAAATGTTGAATCACACAACTGTACCTGAGAGGCAGCCAGCCCGAGAGCAGTGACATTTTAGGCACAGTTGCACCCACAGAATAAAAACAGGGACCGGCGCTGCCCGATTACAAACTCCGTGTGAACCACGGGCACAGCTCTGCATTCCTCCGGGTCCGTATTTTTAAAAACCCAAACAGGTGAAATCAATTTTCATTGTTTTTAAAAATTGATACATAATTAAATCAATTTGAATAATATATTTATTTATCCCAGTAGTTCCAAAATATTGTTCTTCCACCGTGTAAGCAAGATGAAAGCTTAGGAAGGTTTTCACTCTTTGCGCAATGAGGTTTCGGCCTGTTTTACACCCATGCCCAGCCTCCTCTAGACATGCGCAGTTCATGCGCTCATGCTAGAGATGCAGGATTCTCTGCTCTCCCCTGGACCCACACTGGTAGTGAGACTCACTAAGAAGATGCTGTCACCTCCCTCTGCCCCTCAGCACCTGGCCTGGCCTGGGCTGGCTTTCCCTTCCTCCCCACATGCTTCCTGTGCTCTACTCTAGCAGGTCCATCACATAGCAAACCTCCTGCCCCAGGGCCTTTGCACCTGCTGTTCCCGCTTCCAGGACTTCCATTCCTACTTCTTTTTGTGGTCAGCTCCCCTTTCCCTTTCACATTCAGCTGTAGGGTTACCTGCAGGAGAGGTCCATCTACCCCATCTGCCTGCCTCAGTCCTGTCAGGGATCTCTACCCTAGGCTCAGCTGTGCAAAGCTGTGTCCAGGCCTGGAAGACAGGAAGGAGCCTGGGCCTCTGTACCCACAGCTCAGGCTTGCTCACTGTGACCCCGAGGTGTGAATCTGAAAGACCCTTTCTGGAATCTTCCCTCTTGGGGTTTCTTCTCCTCTGTTCTTCCTGCTACGAGGGTGTGGACCCAGGAACAGGCCGAACACACTGCCCCAGCCCCACCCAGCCCCGCAGCGCCCTTCTCCACCAGGGCTGGGCCCATCACCTGCTTTCCGCAGGATGTCAAGCCTGGCAGGCTGCCCGAAGGCTCCCTCGCATTGCAGTTTCTAGCTGGGGTGGCCCTGCAGAGCCTCGTGTGCTGCGAGGGGACCTTTGGAAGGTGACTGACCATGGGGTGGTGAGGCCTGGCTGGAAGGGCACCTCCTCCCCAGCTCCTCCCCGCCCGCTCCCACGTGAGAGCAGCCTCTCCACCTCGGGGTCCCTGTGTGTGCTGCCCGCGAGCCAGCCAGTTCGGGACCAAAGATCAGAGCCAGAAGAAACCTCTCAGTGACAAGGACACCTCGCGGTCTCGGGGAGAAAGCAGGAGGTGCATTTGGGTTCTCAGAGCTTCGACGGTCAGACAGTCCGAGGGGAAGCGGCTCTTCACAGGCCTCATGGGTACAACTGCTGCCTGCTCATTTCAGGGCAGATTAGAAGGAAAGGAAAACCAGCCAAGACTCTATTTTTGGTTTTTCGGTACTGGGGGTGGAACTCAAGGCCTTTACACTGAGCTACCTCCTAGCCCTGTTTAATTTACAGCGGACCCTTGAGTTTCGACTGGCCTAACACATGGACGATTGGGTTAGGACCGGAATTTTAATTTCAACTTATGATCAAGGTCTTGAGTTACAACCTGAATGCCAGCCGCTTGTGCTTCCCGATGGTCTCAGATACAGACTTAACCCTTACAGAGCTCTGGAAGGAACATGACAGCATCCTTTCCTGTGCTGGGTTCACTGAGAAACCCCGGGCCAGCGTCTCTCTAAGAACATTGAGCTCTGCTGTGTGCAGGAGAGAGACTTTGAAGGCTGTGGAGAGGAGCCTGAGCCTTCACTGACCAATGTGAGTTACAACCAGCCCTTGGGAATGAACTGAGTTCATAAGTCCAGGGTCCACTGTATTTTATTATTTTTTTGAGACAGGATCTTGCCGAGTTGCCCAGGTTAGTTCAAACTCGCAATTCTCCTGCCTCAGCCTCCCTGAGTGTGTGATACATTTAGAGTTAACCTATGTGAACTATTTGGTATATACCCTTCCAACTTTTGTTCTACACACTTGTCATTATCTTTTAATTTTTTTACAAAATGTTGATAATATACTCTCACAGGTCCCGTATTTCCCATTAATAATAAATACATTGTGCACATTTTTCCAGTCTCATAAAGTATTCTTAGAA